GGTGATCAACGACACCCATGGACATCTGCAACACCAGAGGAACTGTAGATGCGTTGCCGGCCTTTAAGGAAATGGTATGCTCGCTTCTTGAAGGTCCCTAAGTCGTATTGGTTTGGAAATACCGCCGACCGTTCCACAACGCGACTATGGAGAAAATATCAGCAGATTTTTTTGTTAATTTACTTATATTTGTTGTACCACTCCAACTAAGCTCTATGCATGTGCTAGGATATTGTTTACGACAATAGTCGAATGGCCGGATTCGAACCCCCGACCTAGTGATCGGAAATCCGTATTCTTAACCATTAGGCTATTGACTATTATATTTGATAAAAACGATGTTTATTTTGTTAATTAAAATTAACAGACTGATTACAGCTTATGAACGTCAGGGAAAAATACGCATTAAATGAGATCATACGTTTAACCCTTAGTAGCCTGATTTACTACGAAAGTGATTTATTTTTAATATTACTGTGTTTGCTTGATAAAATAAAACAATAATGAAATTTGTTTTTTTTTTTTAAATTCGTTGGAAAGAATAATATACAACAGTAAAATAGGTACAGCCAACCTATAAAAAAACTAATAGTAATGTGAACATGCGGCTTAAAAGATTGGTATCATAATTGAAACTCTAGGCTACTAAGGGTTAATATTTCTTTGTACCTTATCTGAAAGTCATAGTAATTAAAAAAATAAATAACATATTAATAGCACAAAGACTTGGACAATTTGATAACGATTTGTTTATTGAGTCGCTGGAAGAGTTATTGTTAATATGAGATCATTAAATATATATAATTAATAAAATATAAGTGTCTGTATGTAACATAAAAATAATTTCGTAGATATGATATTTGTGTTTTTAAATACGGATTTTTTTTTTATTTTTGTCTTCGTAGTTCCGACTTTGTTGCAGGTAATCTCTCGCCAGGACTGACTTCAACGAGACTTTTATTTGAAGGTAACTGTTTGCACGATTAACTTGTGCTAAATTTTTAATTCTACGTAAATGAAGTCGCGGGCAACAACTAGTTAACACATTATATAAATGCACATTGCATTGGATATATTATAATAATTTGCATTCAGTCTGCGAAAAGCAACGGCATAATTCAAGATGAAATCACACGTTTTGATGTTTGTTGTTGTCATGGCAACGGTGGTAGTGGTTACCCCATCACCGGTAGATGAAAATAAGCCGTTTGGTAAGTTTAAAACCTTTAATTTATCATAATCAGTCGTACTTCCATACATCTCAGCTTTTCAATAACTACTTTCTTATACATATCTATACTATTCTTATTATATTATAAAGCGGAAGAGTTTATTTTTTTACACGCGCTAATCTCAAGAACTACTGGTCCGATTTGTAATTTAAGTAGGATAATCCATCTACCCTTTCCATGCATCCTCTCATCCGGAAAGTCCACTTCCACTTCCCATCCTTTCCTTATAAAGAAAAGGATGGGAAGGGAAAGAGGACTAAATTAGGCCTCCGGGAATACACTCATCAGACGAAACGCGGAATTGCTTCCACTTCACGCCTGTTTTCTATGTGATCGTGATATTTCAGAGACGGGCCAATTCGTGCGAAGATGTTAAAGCAGGCTCTACCACTGTTAAACAATATTGTGATTTAACGTATTAATTTTCCCAGATTGCCCACCAAATGAAGAGTACCACAAATGTTCTGATGCTGTTTGCCAACAGACTTGCGCAAATTTATTCGAAAGACGTCTTTGTATTCCAATTGACGATTGCTATAAACCTACTTGTTTATGTTTACCCGGTTATTTAAGAGGTTACAACGGAAATTGTATCCCCAAAGAAGACTGCATGAAACTAGTGTTGCCCGTCTCTCATTGATTTTTTGAACTTTGTTAAACTCTGATAAAAGACGAACAGTAATTCATCAATTACTATAAGAATAATAAAATAACGAAATAAAAATATTTGTTTTTGTATTGACCTGGCAATAATATTAAAAAAAAACATGATTGTGTCCGAAGCAATAAAAATACAATTTTTCTTATAAGGAAAGGATGGGAAGGGGATAGGGATTTATCAGAAGCGACCAGCACAGACTAGGGAAATATTGTCTTTCTGTCCGTCCTCTTCTCCGTCGATAAATAGGCATCGGAAGTTGTGAATGTTTATAGACCGTTGTTGCTTCGCCGTTTTGGCGAATTTAAGTTGATGTTTACTATTGCACCCATATCTTACTTATAAATACGAATGTCTGGATGGATGTTTGTTTGAAGGTATCTCCAGAACGGCTGAATGGATCTCGATGAAATTCGCCCTACATATAGAACATAGACTGGAAGAAAACTTAGGCTACTAATTAGGTTTTTTTAATTTCGCACAAATTATTCAGCTGATTTGAATATGTTTTGTGAAAAAGTGCTATAATAAAACAATGAAAGTCGACTTTTTAAAGACATCGGAATACATTACAGTTTGGTTAAGCAACCTAGTTCGTAGTCTAGTTAGAAACCTCAAACATGTTCTTTTGAATCTATTGTTCAGTGGAAAGGGGGTTTAAAGCTGCCTACATCGCATTGCAGAAAATGTACTTTATTTACCTATCCTTTGAAATTGAACTAAAATACTTCGTGTTTATTCTGTACCTCCGTGTACACTGCGATGGAAAAGTTCAAGAATAACATTTCTGTTCGGAACTGTATTTGAATTTTGTGTAAAATGTATTTTGATCGCGATTGTACTTTTAATAGTTAAATAGAATAGATTTTGTCAAACTGTTATGTATACTTGAAGTATGAGAAAAATTATGGTATATTATAAATGCGAATGTTTAGATAGATGGATGGATGGATATTTGCGTAAAGGTATCTCTGGAACCAAGTCAACCAACCCGCACTTGGCCAGCGTTGACTATGGCCTAATCACCCTTAACTTAGGGTAGGCTCCGAGCCCCTCGGTGGGGAGGTATAGTGAGCTGATAATGATGATGATGATGATGATCTCTGGAACGGCTTATCGAAATTTTGATGATTTTAGCACACACGTAGAATATAGTCTGGAAGTACACATAGGCTACTAATTACCTTCATTTAATTTTCGCGCGGACGGAGTCGCAGGCGACAGCTAGTCATAAATAAATAACAAAAATATAATTGCTCTTATAATCATACTTTTCAAACTATGTTATTATTTTTGAAGATGTCATAAAGTTACTAAACGTGCGATGTTTCACTGTCAAAAACTTGTCAAACTTTGCGACGATGTTGAAAGCTTGACTGCTGACGGAAAAGTTAAAGTGTCAAAATAGAAATTAGATTTAAAGTTAATATAAAATTACTAGCTGTCGCCCGCGACTCTGTCCGCGCGGGATTAAAATAGATGTTGGCCGATTCTCAGACCTGTTCAATATGTTCACAAAATTTCATGAGAATCGGTCAAGCCGTTTCGGAGGAGTATGGGAACGAAAATTGTGACACGAGAATTTTATATATAAGATTTTCAAGTACAGAATCACGAATGCTCCTTCGAGTCGGATTTTGAGTTAAATATTGAAATGTAAAAAAACCGTCGTCAACTTCGATCAATATGGCTATTATTTAGATTTATAAAAAGTTAAAAATAATTATTTGAATATAATTTTAAGTGGTTTTATAAGTCTATAAATCTTTAATTAAATTTATATTTCTCTGCCCAACAAGAAAAGCTGTAAAGGTAGATCTTCACTGCTTGAAAACTTCCACAAAGACATTGTTTTCTCAGTTTTTCTCATAAGGAATGAGAGAGATGGCGATATGCTTTTGTGTGAGTTTTTTGTCAGTGGAAATCTCCTGTAACATCATACAAAATTGATGACAATTTTTCAGTTGAAAACAATTCGTGAAAGCGAGATGAGATTTATGTTGAATCCCTGACATTCTTATCGCGGGTGGCGATTGTTCTGTCCTTTGATTTTTAAGAGACAGGACCTGACAGGTCGCGCATACATACGCTCACGCCACCCTAACAAAAAAGACGAACAGTGAATTCTAACCATGCAAGCTTGTGAGCAGTGTGTAAATTTTTAATTCATCATCATCATCCTCAAGGTTTTATAAAGTTGCCTATCGTCAACCCTACTTGGGAGTTAAATACTGCGCAAAGTGGCATAATTTATTTAATACAACAGCTATTCTTTGGCGAGTCCGTTTATCTATAATCAACGTAGTCGATTGTTCTGCGCGTTGTTTTGATATTTTTTTTGTGTGCGAGGATTGATTTCGATTCATTTGTCAAAGCGACATTGGCCATGTTTTTGAAAAGCTTGCATTAATCATGCTTATAAAATGCCTACAAAACACTTTGAAACGAGGTGATATAACTTAGGATTTTATATAACAAAATACGCCTATATCTAAGATAAATAGGCATAGATTAAGGATTTTCAGTTCACTCGTTTATGTCGCACTTTTCTAGGCTTTCTACATATGTACTATTAAATAATATTAATACTAAATTAAAAGAACACCCTTTTTATTTAATCTTTAGTTTAGTTTAGTTTCCATTCCCTCTAATATTATGATTTTTAATTAGCTTTTTAATATCAAAAAGTCTGAAAAAACTAAGTCAAGTACCTATTCTTAACTCCGTAACTACAAAACAACACACAACAAAACGTCAAACAGTTCAAAACTAAGAAAATAATCAACAATGAGAAGATTCTTTCTAAAATTATTTAGTATTTAAATAAAATTGAACCTTAAAATACTAATATTATAAATGCGAATGTTTGGATGGATGTTTGTTTGAAGGTATCTCCAGAACGGCTGTATCCCGCTGAAATTTGGCATAGATTTAGAAGAAATTTGGCATAGCCTGGAAGAACACGGGCCATTAAGTTTTTTTTAGTTCCGCGCGTACGAAGTCTAATTTTAAATGTATAAAGTAAGTTACGATACGTAAATTTAATAACATCAAAAATTTTTATATATATAATTCTTCTGTGAGTGTGTATGTCACTGAACTTCTCTCAAACGACTGGAGCGATTTTGATGAAATTTTTTGTGTGTGTTCAAGGGGATCTGGGAATGGTTTAGATTCACAATTTTGTCCGCTGGACAATGTTTTTTAATTAATTTTTAATTTATTAGTAGTTGTTGATTTTGGAATGTTTTACATTGGATCCGACAGACGGTGCTACCATCGCAGTGTCAAATTTTAAATAATATTCGAATTAAAGACGTGTAGACAGGACAACGTCTGTCGGGTCCGCTAGTATTATATAAAATTTACCTGCCTATTTTAATACAGAGAATGGTTTCAAATGTATGTCAAACTTTACTCTAATGGTGGTCGTAAAAAACAGACGCCGCAAGCGATCGAATAAATTACAGATTATACAGAAAATAAATCATTTAGTTGTCGCAAATGCTTTTGTTAAGCAGTTTATTAAAATTTAAATTGTCCTTATTTTCACGGATTATATTTAACATTCGAACAATAATTGTGTTACAATTTAAACATACATTATGTTGTATTAAAAAAATATTTTTATTGTCATAATTACTGGCAACGTTACATTAAACCTACCAAATTTTTCTCTTTCACATGTACATTTTAAGGCATAAAATCAGCGTCTTCAATCTTTCATAATCACCTATCCAATGGATTCGGATCACATAACAAACAAACATAAAAAAATCGTTAATGATTTCTTATGTTAAACAGAATCATTGAATAACTAGCTGTCTCTCGCGACTGCGTCAGCGCGGAATAAAAAAAGGCACCTAAAAAGTAGCCTATATATTCTTCCAGTGTTCTATATCTGTGCCAAATTTCATAAATATCCTTAAAGATACCTTCAAACAAACATCCATCTAAACATTCGCATTTATAATATTAGATAGATAGATAGAACGTAAGTTGTTGGACGTTTGTTAAGGTCGTTGGACATATGATAAAATTCCATAACCCTGCAAAACTTTTTTAGCCTTGACCTATAGGTTAAAAAAACACTGGTTTAAAAATAATTATTTTTTTTTACATCAGCTTTCTTATTCTTGATAATATTGTAAGAGCAGGCATTATTCGATGTTATATTATTTTAAAGTCAATTTTATAAATAGTAGTAATTTAATTGGATTACTCGTTAACGAAGCTGAACCGCAGACCTTTTTAATAGGATTAATATGAAGATGGATTCCGTTTGCTTTCAGTATTGGCATTATTGTTAGTTTTCCAATAATAATATTATAGAGAATGAAGAGCGTCGGTGGCTCAGGGGTCAAGCATTGACTTGTAATCTACAAGTCCTGGGTTCTAATCCCGCCATGTGCCAATGTGTTTTTCGATTTCCGATTTACATATGTACTTTTTATCCAACGTTCTTATGATGAAGGAAAACATCGTGATGCAACCTGCGCATATCTGAAAAGAAATTCAAAGATATGTGTGAAGTCAACCAATCCGCACTTGGCCAGCGTGGTTGACTATGGCTTAATCACCCGTAACTTAGAGTAGGCTCCGAGACCCTCAATGGGGACGTATAGTGAGCTGATGATGATTATGAATATGATAGAAATTTCAAATAGAAGTTTTAGGACTTTTTATCTTTATATAGTAGCTTATTGCTACGATAACTGCTACGTCTATGTGTGTTCTACGTCTACACTTCTGCTACAATTACTGTTCTACTATGTACAGTCAGCTACATAAATATTTTTACATTTATAACGCTTTAAAAACTTGTTGCCTTTGATTTCAGAAATTGATATCCTCGTATCCGTACGTGTGCTACCGACGAGTAAACGTATTTTTGATACAGAAGGTTTACAAGTTTTTAAAGAAATAAAAATGTATTATATACACATTTATGCAGCTGAATGTACTGCTAGACATAAGTAGCTTATATTTTTTTTTAATTAGTAGGATCATAACTGCCGTTCTAAAAGTAATATTTAATCGATACGAGCACTAACTAGATTACCAA